GTTGGTGGTAGCCGGGCACCATCTAGTTCTTCTGGTCTCCGGTCAGTGGAGTCTCTGGTTCATGTGGTCTGTTAGTCCTTTGGGCTAGTATTTTCTTTGTGTCTTTGGTTTTACTTTGGAGAGATGGAGATGTTTTGGAAGTAGATTGAGATGGTTGTTGCCCAACAGTGTGAATGTGCTAAATGCTACTCAATTGTTCACTTCAAAATGGTTAATTTTATGTATGTGAATTTATCCCTTAACAAAATTAATTTTTTTACCTTTAAAAAAAGGTATGAAGACATAAAAAAAGAATAGAACAGAGGTATTCTTTCTGACTTTATATGTGAGGATTAAATGTGAATAATATACATGACAGCATCTACCACCATCTCTGGCATACAGTGAATATTCACAAAATAGTGGTTATCACTAATTTTTTTTTTTTTTTTGGTTATTGCTCAAGTTTGTCCAGGACATCAAGACCTGACAACATGCCCACTGAGCCCTTACAAAATGGTTGGGTATTTCCCCCCACTTTTCAAAGGCTCTCCCTCAGTTGTCTCTTTTTAACCTTTAACAGGGCTTGGGGGTGGGGCAAAGGAAGCACCCACTCATTTTATGCCAAGAGGCTGAGTGACCAGTTCAATGGCATGTGAAGGGGAAGTGTTGCTCATCCAACAAGTGTTCTGCTTTCTCCCCAGCCCCCAAAAAGGAGACAATGCAGGGAGGGGCTCAAACAGGCCGTGCAATTACAGGGGTGGAGATAAAGGACGCAGGTCCCAGGGAGAGTGTCTAGGACTCAGGCACAGGACTTGGGTGAGTCCTCCCATCCCCACCACGCACTGGACCCAGGAAGACTCACCCAGCATGATGGCGTCCACGGCTCCCCCGGGACAGAACTCGATCATGATCTGCAGAAAACACAAGGCAAAAAGATGAGCAGGGTGCCCACCTCACAAGCAACCCAGGCAGCATCCACCAGTGCCCGATGCTCAATCCTCGGTGTCCTAGCTCCCCAGCCTCCCCTCCTCCTGTCCAGTCTGACCTGCTCTCCTTCCCTCCAATCTGGCTTAACCCTACAGGAGGCTCTAACACCCAGGGGAGTTGCTTGGGCCCTTCATTTTTCAGAAAAAGAAAAACCAAGTTGCCCTGGAAACACACAGCTTTGGAGAGCAGCATTTCAGACCAGCCCACCCTTTCCCTCCCATCCCAGCCTTGGAGCTTTGCCCCACCTGCCAGCTGCCCATTTCCTATGCTCCACTGCCAAGACCTCAGGGGATGCCCCCCACCCCTCCAGAACTCCGGCACCTGCCTCCTGTCTTTCTCCATCTTCCAGAGCCCTGGCCCTCATGGAATCAGAACATCTGGGCCCGGACAAACAGCTCATCCAATGTCCTCAATTTACAGATGAGGAAACCGAGGCCCAGAAAGGGAACAAGATTGACCAAGGCCTCACAGATTGTCTGTGTCAGGTCCTGGACTGGAAGGTAGGTTTCCTAACTCCCAGGTCATTCAGGCATTCATTCATCATACACCTAGTACCCACCCAACAGGTAGCAGGCCCTTAGAGAACAACCAGACACAGGCTCTCAAGGGGCTCCCAGCCAGGTGCAGGGGATAGAGAGGACACAGAATAAAAAGTGCTGCAGGTACCCACACAGTTCCTTCCTGGTTCTTTTGATGGATCTTCACTCTTTCTTGCCCACTCTGGGCTCTTAACATATGTGCATAGATGCTCTCTCTTTTTCCTTCAGGTAGTGGTACAGGTGGGTGGGGAAAGGAGAAAAGTATCCCAAACTTCAAGACACACTCCTAGAATCCCTACCCAGCTTCCAGCTCTGGGTCCCTGCTTGTTGTAAAGT